AAGTGTAGGGCGTCCCCCTACTAGATGGAGTGACAACCTGGTAAGATATGCAGGAAGTCGATGTATGCAGGTGGCTCAGGACCGTGCTTTGTGGCATTCTTTGGGGGAGGCCTATGTTCAGCAGTGGACTTGTGAAGGGCTGTAATGATGATGATGATGATGAGTTTCTAAATCGGTGGCTTCTAAGTCAAGTTTTCTAACAACATGGATCGATTTCATAACAAGAATTAGCACCCCGCCACCGCCCTTTTTATTAAATAACATACAGTTCCGATCGCGTCGAAATAATGTATAAGCATCAGATTGAATTTCAGCATCCAAAATTGTATCCAACAGCCAGGTTTCAGTTAAAATTACACTGTCGAGGTTACAAGTTAGTAAATTTAGTTTTAAGTCTGTAAGCTTAGTTTTTAAGCCTCCACAATTTTGATAGAATATAAGTAACTTATTAGAAGCCATCGCGAGAAAGAAATGCAACCGATATAATTAAAAGTGTATTTATAAATTTGTTTGCTATAAAACTATGGATCTCGATCTCCCGCTGTATTGAGTATTGTAAACAACATACACAAAAACTTATAATAAATCTACTAAAATATGCTACTTTTGGAATATTAATAAACAAGTAAACGTAATAAAATAGTCATATTTTATTTAAATCATTAGTTATTTAGACAGATGTATTTAAATTTTTATGATTTTAGGCTATTATAAATCGATAATAATCATTATTTAGATAATAACAGACTAACAATAATTGATTTTCGTGCATTTTGTGAAATGATACACACACTTTATTGTGTCAATATCGTAAGTACGTATGTCAAATTAATGTGGAATATTTTCACACATTGAGTAATCTGTGCTTGTTAAATAGATTATATCACATTTTGCTTGTGCTGATTCCCTCTTTCTTCACCGTTGCACTTTTTGCTGCTTTTGCTGACCACTTATGCTTTTATTAATATAGGGAATTGATCACGCATATTTATTGACTTACTGCTAATTACTATGGACATTCTGTTATTGCATCCACGATGTTGAGGTACACTAAATGCCATCTTTGCGTCGATAGGGTGCAGGGGCATTTTGTGTCCTCATTTCAATTTACAATCTTAAGTCTTCTTTCAACAAGGAGATCTTTGCAACAGATGTATTTAGTTTTATAGCTTTTTATATAGATGATAATTTATGGTCCTGCCGTTGTCGTAAAATTAGTTACTAATCTGTAAATATTTACACATTCTTCAGACACATGTCACAATATATATATCTTGAAATAATAATTTTGGAAATAATATAACTCGTTTACATGACTAGGACTTAGGTTTCATGAAAAACAGGTGGTGCTAGTCTTATATTTTGTAAGGACCTTTTAAATCTTATACAAGAGAACCCTCTTCGCCCCGGTCGTCGTAAGAAGCTAACGTGTCCGTCTACTTTGTCTACCCTTTTATTTAATTACAAATTACAATCCTGTGATCCATAAATCTTTCATAAAATTAGGAAACAAGAAGTTCAAGGAGCAATATAAACGAGTGTGTATTCAAGTTTCATGCAGCTCTAGTACATTACCATTTGTGAGTGGTACGTTTAAACACGCTCTGGTCACATCCAATAGCCATGCCCGTGTTTCTGTGATAATGATGTGGTAATGCCCAATATCCACGCTTGTGCTTGTTTTCTGTGAGTACTAGTTTATAAGTGGTACTAATTTAATGAAATAACCTACGCACAGTATATTAGCGAGCGTCCTTACGATTTTATTTATCAAAATTGTTATTCATTATTTAAAGCTTTGAGATATTTCTATTTGCCTGGTACTATGGACAGCCAATTGAATAAATCTCTCTCGGAAAACGACGTTAGTCAAGTAGAGCAAAGGAACAAACTCGCCCAAACTTTGCTTTTTCTCGGAACAAGCGAAATAGGGAAGTCGAAAATATTATGAACTTTGGCAATCTTAAAAAGAAAATTAAGAGTATGATATCCTCCGCATTGGCAGTGCAAAAACAAGAACTTAAACAAATTACTAACACTTTAAAAGATATTCAACAATCAAATAATAACATTGAAAGTTCAATTACATTTTTAACGGCGCAAAATAAAGTATTTCGGATGAAATAGAGCATTTAGAAAGCATGATAAAAGAGGACTGAAGCTATATTACTCTGTTACAGGACAAAATTGAAGACATGCAAATGAACAACCGTAAAACTAACTTTGAGATTAAAAACGTACCTAAAAAGTTGGGTGAAACCAAAGATGATCTTATTAATAATGATGTTTGTCGAAAAACATTTGGTGCAACTTAAATAAGACTGATACCAAGGACATCTATAGGCTACGAGGAAAGCAGGATAGATTACACAATACTCCAATTGTCGTCGAAACATGTTCAACACTAATAAAATCGGAAATATTGAAAATGAGCAAGGCCTTTAATATCAAGCATAAGATTAAGCTATCTGCAAAGCACCTGGGATTTCATACAGAAGAAGATACTCCCGTCTTTGTTTCAGAGCAGCTCACAGCAAAAGGCTCTCGACTATACTTCCTCGCCCGAGACCTCGTCAGATCCAAGAAATATAAATTTTGTTGGACAAATTATGGTAAAGTTTATGATAGAAGATACGAAAACTCTCATATAATAATAATTAAATTTGAAGCACAAATTCAACAACTCCAACAGAATTTATGATTAGGTACCGTATTAACCATAGAGTATTTTTGTAGAAACATAATATTTTTTTTATATCTACAAATGTTCATTATGTTCTTTGTACACTTTATTTTCATGAATTGTTAGTTTTTATTTTATTTCTCTATTGATACAATTTTATTGTCACAGACCTCAGCGTTACATTATACACACTTATTTTCATAGTTTGCATACAAATAATACACTATACTAATATGTTATTGTTAACTACTCATCTAAAATCCATACACACTTACATACAACTTAATGTAATGTAATCATTTTGCAAACTTTAATCCTCGTAAATTAATAGCTACGAATTATATTTTTTCACTTAATATAAATTATGAACAGATTGTCTATTGGCAACTTCAAAACTGTGACAGAGAACTGTGACGGGGTCTTAGTTACACTCGCATATTATCCTTTATGAGAATGAATAGTTCCATAAGAATTCTAAATGATCTTGATGCCACGGAGACTGCACAGGCTGTTCGCTGTGATGTAGAGGATATACCAAAAATATTTGCGTAAAAAATAGTGATTTGACAATTATTTCTCAAAATATTAGAAGTATAAACAGTAATATTGAAGATCTACACCTGACACTCACACACTTAAATATTGATCCAGATATTATTGTATTAACAGAAAGTTGGCTTACAGACAACAAAATAATTCCAAATATAACACACTATTTATGTTTCGCTATAAATTTTCATCTCAATCAAAGTGATGGATTGTTGGTGTATGTGAGAAACGGTGTTAAAGGAAATGTCAAAGAAATAAGACTTGAGCATGCTTCATGTTTACATATTGACACTCATGATACTATATTTTAGTTAATTATCGCTCACCTTCTAACAATAATTCTGACATCTTTATTGACTCTTTAAGCCTACACTTAGAAACGATTTAATCACGTAAACGCATTTTAGTGATTGGTGATTAAATATAAATAAAATTTCTAAGGGTATAGAGCAGAATTATGAGCGCAACAATAGGCTTCAATAACTTAACATGATGAGCAAGCATGGTTTACTCGTTGGTCACTATTTGCCAACAAGAGGTGGTAATTGCTTAGATTATTATATTCTTAAACTAGAAAGAAGTAAAAATAATGCCCAAATTGCTGTTTTAAACACCACTATCACTGATCATTCTATGATGTTGCTAACCATGTCAAATATAAGGCTCAAAGAGAAATATGTAAATACGAGTACAAAGTTAAAGACTGATTTTATAAAGGCACTTAATACTTTAATTGAAAAAAATCTCTCAAAGTTATTTTTTTGTGATAACCCCAACTTTGTGATAGAAATGCTAATAAACAAAATAACTGAGTGTTTGTGCTTTTAGACACTGATATAACAGAGGTACATGATATACTTATGTGCCTCAAATCAAACAGTGCACCCGGATATGATAATATTCCAACCATATTCCTCAAGCTGGCTAAAAATGAAGTAGTACCAATTATTTGTCATTTGGTTAGTCTTTGTTTTAAGCAAGGTATTTTTCCGTCGTTATTAAAACAAGCCATAATAATTCCAGTACACAAAAATGGGAGCAGAGACGATATAAATAATTACAGGCCTATTTCTGTTCTTTCTTCTATCTCAAAAGTAATAGAAAAATTAATAAATAAACGACTAGCACAATTCATTAATAAATTTAAAATACTGTCTGATATACAATTTGGTTTTAGACAAGAAAAATCTATAGAAGGTGCTGTAACAGCTCTTACTTCCTTAATCAAGGAAAGAAAACCCTAGCCGTTTTTCTAGATCTTAAAAAGGCCGTCTCGATTCCCATCCTTATACAAAAACTAGAAACAATTGGCATCGTAGGTACACCACTCAACTTATTGAAGATTACTTGTCTGAAAGAAAAAAAGTTAAAATTGACAGTATGTTAGTGATGACTCTTTTGTTACCTACGGTTTCCCACGAGGTAGTGTACTAGGCCCTACCTTGTTTCTTGTTTATATTAATAATTTATACTAGCTAAAAATAGATGGAGGTCAAATTTTTTCATTCGGCATTCGTGCACTCCACACTTTTGGGTGGAGCAAAGTTCTATAGAGAATCTGGCATTCTCCTTTTTAAAATTTGACTATTATGTACTTACGTACGTATATCTTTATCAATGGACTTTATTATATGTTACTTCCGTCTGAAAAAAGATCCCGACTTAATATCAAGTCGCGCCTAAAGAAATTTTCAAAAAGATGTTTAATAAAAACTGAAAATGAACTGTTTTATCTTTAATACAACGATATATCGAAAGAAATACTTACTGCGGAAAATTGAACAGCTGTACTGCAAATAATACCAGAACTTAAAATCATCGTCATTGAAATATGTCCTCCATATATATCTTGTATAGATCCCACAAACCTAAAATTGAGAAAAAATGCATGTAGGAAGACCAATTTGTGTAGTTAATTGTTGTTAAAAAGTTTTAGGGATAAAATTTGTATTGCGGCATACCAACCTTATAATAAGATTATGATGCATAACACATTTTTTAAAAAACCGTTCAAATGCTTCATTTTTATCACAATTATTTACTTCCATTTCATATTTTAAAAAACGCTCAACATTTTCAATTGTATGTATTAAATTCTCTATCTGACTTGCTGAAATACAGATTATGGAATGCATAATAGGTATTTGTTTTTAAATTACATTTTATGAATGAAAAATCTTCGAGAAAATATTTACAAATATCTCTATACTATTTAAACGTAAATGTTTTATCAATCCAACGGTGGCAGAGTCGAATTTTATATAGAACAGGATATTTCTATACACGTACGAAATATCCAGCTTCCACACTAAGAAGTAAACTTGCCAGGCTATCTTGCGTCGTCGCGACTGCTTGCAGACCTCATTATGAATACTTTGTAATAGATAGATTACTTCTACAATAAACGCTCTTAGTAAAGGTTTAAATTTAATATCGATTTGTGTTAATTATATATCCCCAAGATACAAAAGATCTTCACGTTCAGCTTGCACTAAAGAATTACTTTCTTTCTAAATATACATAATATTCAAGAACAGGTTTTTGACTCAACCAATATCACATACATTACGTAAGCAACCTACTACCGGCACTCGCAAAGTAAACATTTCACGTACATTGTCCGTAAATAATTATTCAAAAGTGGTGTCTAAGTGCTCTGATGTGTTTGTGACGTGTACAGGGATAAAGCTCGTAAAGTGACCTATCTCTTGGTATAATAACATCGCATAATTATCAAGAATCCAGTGAGTAATAAGCTAATTCGTTAAATTATAATTTTTGCACACGACACTACCCTGACCTACGACAACCCGCAGAGTGCCCGCTTCTGTGACTAAGCTACTGTGTTGTTGTGACTACTGGCCGCTCCTTTTCAATCGACCGCCACAGCCGTATCGCTCCTGCGTTGCGTTGCTTTGCTCTTATATTGTGTAAGGCGCTGAGAAACTTTAACAAGCACCGATATGGATGTTAAAGTTATTTGTGGCGGCTGTAAGATGATTGTTAAGAATAAATACTTCATTAGCTGTCATGGATGCAAGCAGATGTATGACCTTGAGTGCGCAAGTCTCTCGCCAAAACGACTGAATAAGATGAATGCTGAGAATAAACGCGAATGGCGATGCTTGGAATGCAAAAGTAAGAAACAAAAATCAGATAACACTAACACGCCAGTGCGACCGTCCGCCCACTATGCACCAACTGCTCCTTGGGATGAAACCTACACTGAATGCTACTCGGACAGCAACATAACACTGCGGAAAAAGCCAAATTACTTATCTAATAGTTAGCTAAAGGAGCCTTTTAAAGCTGAGAGGCTGAGACAAGGGCTATTGTTGAGGCTTCTTCTAAGGGATTATCCGAACATTTCAAAGGCATGAATGTACAATTTACTAGTTTTCAAGAGTCTATGACCTACATAAACTGCCAATACGAAGACCCGAAAAAGGAAATTACTGACTTGAAAAAGCTACTCAATTCTACTTCTCTAGAATTGAGGTCCCTGAAAGAGGAGAACAATATGCTTAAAGAAAGTCTTACTACTTGCTCTGGAGAACCGAAAACAGCAACAATGGCAGAGATTGCAAAACCTTGAACTTGTTAACATACCTGAAGACAAGGATGAGGAGTTACTGAACATTGTGCTGAAAACGGCGAATCACGTCGGTGCTGACATCCAACCCACAGACATAGAATTCGCTCACAGAGTACAGCGGAAGCGTAACACAAGAGCTCATAGAGCACGCCCAGTAATCGTCAGATTAAGACAGCGCTCTATTAAGGACCGAGTGATCGCTGCAGCACGTAAACATCGCAACATGATCACCAGAGATATCGGGATGGCAGGTGAAGAAACCAGTATCTATATCAATGAACATCTCATTAAAGAAAATAAAATGTTGTTGGGTTCTTGTAGGCAAAAAGCAAAAGAGACAGGGTACAAGTATGTGTGGACAAAAAACTGCCGAATTTATGTCAGAAGAAACGACACCTCGACTCCATTTGCAATAGACTCGACGAGCGATCTTGGAAAGATATTGTAATTAATTGCCTTGCCCTCTACTCTTACACTTCTCACACTTCTTATTATATTCCGGTGGTCACTTTAACACACAGCATACACAAATACACATACATTATAAAATCTACTTACACTCATATTCACATTATACACTGCATATACACATCACGAACCTTAGAAACAATTGCATAATATCCTAACCTCTTATCCTTACTGCATGTACGAATACATCCAATGCTCATTAACATATATGTCACTTAAACTCTGCGTAATACCTACTCACTATTTAAACCATTCGTTTATCATTGTGCGGTTCAATTGATTTCGACCGTCCATATAATCAACTGCAATTATATATGTCTTGCCTATATTTTTCAACACACTCAATTTAATCAAGATGAATAACAATAATATGAAGAAAATTAAGCTATTCTATCAAAACGTGAGAGGACTACGAACCAAAACCGATGAATTTTTTAAAAACGTGTTACTGCAGGACTCCGATATAATTATGGTAACTGAAACATGGCTCTGCGATAGCATTTTTGATGCTGAGCTGTGTGATGACAGATTTACAGTCTTTCGTACGGACAGAGGGTCGTTGGGGGGTGGTGTAATGATTATGTGTGCTTCGAATTTACAGGCACGCGCCAGATCAGAATGACATTGTAGTGGCCTGGAGTCTGTGTGGGTAACTATTCCTGCTAAAGCTATCAAAGCCAGGCATAATTTGCATATTGCTACAGTGTACATCCCACCCAATGATCAAATTCCATCAAGATTGCACATATTCATCAATCAACTCTCTGAAATCAAGAGCCAAAACTGCAATGATCACTTTATAATTGCGGGCGACTTTAACCTGCATATCATTGACTGGCAATATGAGGAACCAATAATTCTGAGGAAGGGCTCCGTCGAGCTTCAGAATGCTGCATCGAGTTTTGTCACTCAGTCTTCCTTTCTTGGCTTGTCACAGTTTAACAATTACACTAATAACTGTAACAATACATTGGACCTAATTTTCTCCGATTCGTCCGTCACCATAAAGAAATCTACGATGCCTTTAGTAATGGAAGATCCTCTACATCCGACTCTTTCTATTGTAGCTTCCGATATTCTAGTCTCTCCAATTAAACCTCAATCTCGCACTAAATATCTATATAAACGAGCTGACTTTGATAGCATCAACGAATCGCTTAGAAATCAGGCCTGGAGTTTTTTACTCGAAAATAGTAACATAGAGCACATATTAACGAAATTTTACTCGATTTTAAATAATAAAATACAAACCTTCGTACCACAAGTTCGTTGCTCAAGTACCTACATTTACCCAGTTTGGTATAATATAGCGTTAATAAAACTAATTAAAGAAAAAGATAGGACTCATGTGAATTGGAAGCGTCATAGAAACCCGATTGATTATGCACATTTTAGCTATCTCAGACGGACTATTAAGAAACTACAGACCGAAAGCCATCAATCATTAATTGCTTTCTCGCAACAAAGAATTAAGACTAATCCTAAATATTTTTGGTCTTATATAAAGTCCAAGAGAAAAGTAGGCTCCTCTTATCCACATCAAATGACCTTTGATCAGAATGTGTTAAATGCACCATCGGATATCTGTTCCGCATTCAGCAACTTTTTTGAGAGAAACTTCTATGAACCAGCGGATCAATACCCAGCTAACTCAATAAATGAAACTCCACGATCTGACACTATACATGACATTAATGTTACTGAAGAATGTACTTATGAACTGCTTAAAAATCTTGACGTCAAAAAGGGAGCTGGTTTCGACGGTATTCCACCGGTATTCTTCGTTCAATATGCTAAATCTCTATCGGGTCCTGTGTCATTGGTCTTCAACAGGTGTCTTCGTGATGGATACTTTCCTAATATCTGGAAAAAGGCCCATATAGTGCCAATTCATAAAAAATGATTGAGGACTTTAGTTGAAAACTACCGACCTATATCTATACTTAACGTGTTGAGCAAAATGTTCGAGAGGGTCGTACATAAATTTATCTATCCTGTAATATCTGTCTCAATACCAATAGAGCAGCATGGGTTCATGAAGGGTCGGTCCACAGCCACCAATCTGGGAGTATTTGTCGATTACGTATTAAGTAACATGGATGGCGGGTCTCAGGTTGATGTAATTTATACGGATTTTGAGAAGGCGTTTGACCATGTAGATCACATTATTCTTTTACGTAAACTTTATGAACTTGGTATCCGGGGTAACTTGCTTAGATGGATGGAATCTTATTTACGCAATCGATCTCAAGCTGTCGTTATAGGAGGATTATGCTCAGATTTTATTGCGATACCTTCCGGCTTCCCACAAGGATCCATACTGGGACCATTTCTGTACGCTTCATATTTGTACGACGTAGGTGCTTGCCTCGAACACGCTTGATTCCTTATGTATGCTGATGACACCAAAATATTTATGAAAATTAAAAATGATATGGATTGTACTGGCCTGCAAGCTTATCTTAACCGTCTAGAACAATATTATACTGATAATCGAATTGGAATAAATGTAAATAAATGTTCTTTTAGCTCCTTTACTCGCAAGAAACGTCCAATCAATTTTGAATACTATATTAGTAATGTTAAAATTGCAAAATCGGCTTGTGTTAGGGATCTCGGTGTTCACATTGATTGTAAATTGACATTTTCCGATCATACAGAAATTATTAAAAACAAAGCGTACAGAAGCCTGGGTTTCGTATTGCGTGTTAGTCGTCCCTTCTCAGACATAGGTTACCTAAAAGTACTATATTACGCTTATGTTAGGAGCATCCTAGAATACTGTAGCATAGTTTGGAACATTCAGTATATCATTTATACTCAAGATTTTGAGATAATTTCATAAAACACTTAAATTATCGGTCCCATTGCCTCTTTAAAAACTATGATGAATCCTGTCATTATCATAATCTCACGACTCTCAAAAATAGGCGTGTACTTGCTGACATGTCCTTTTTACACGGAATATGCTACGGATATATAGGTAGCCCTGAACTATCAACCAAAATACTGAGTTTCTGCGCCCCGAAAGTTAGAACGAGACACAC